GCATGCCCGACCGAATTCAGGAAGTGAACGATAATCAGAATTCGTAGCCGGAAGACAAGAACATTGTAAATCCGTACAGACTACGTGATCCATTAAACGAAAATTCGATCGTTAGCTGTCTGGAGACAACGTCTATCGGGCGTTGTTTGGGAATGCATCCTTCCCTGTACAGCCAATCGGACAGATAAAACGCTAATCGCAATATGATACAGTGGAAAACAAAACACGTTAGTTTCATCTCATCTTAGTTTCATCTTAATAGCTACCAGTCGCAGTCGTTTTGTGCTGCCCAATTGTATACCAAATTCCGTATCCAAACCTTTGGATTCTTTAGCGTTCTACATTCACTGGCTATTCAGATTGGTCATTGCTTTGCGATCAAAAGACCGGTGCGTTAATTAACCCGGTGACGTACTTAGCGGATCTGAAGCTGTCATCTTGGCGCCTGAGCTTCAGTGCTGCAATCATCCCGCTTGCCAAGAAGGGCAAAGGAGAGCAGTCAGATTAGGAACAGCGGAACTCCGTACTACGTCCATATTAACCGAAGCAGTGATGATGCCTTACACCGACAAAGAAGGGGTAAGAAAGGGCCTCAAAACCGCAGACATCGATCGCCCAGTGGTTGACGTGACCGCCAGCAACTTACCCAATACTTTGAAAAGAAATTGTCTTTGGTATTAGCCCACTGCGACCCCTAGAGCACCTGCTGTGCGTGGCACTACGAGGAGTGAGACACCCCTGCATATTCCCTGCGCCTTCGGGCTAGGCCAGCTTCCAGAGGAAAACAGGTCAGAACAATGAGTCACTGGCTGCTGACATTACCCCCACATGAAAGTCCTACCGCCCTCACACTTGCAGGTCAGACATTCAAGTTAGGGTCAAGATTTCCGAATAAGACCATTCCTTGCCTTTACACTCATGTGGGATGAACTTTTGAATCAAAGACTCAAGGCTGGTTAAACGACTAAACCCTCTTCTTCGGTGTGGACAAACAAGCACCATCATTTTATCGAATCGTTCTGCCCACTTCCACTTTTTTCTTCCTACAACCAAACGTCGCTGGATCATTTGATTTTCAGTTATCAGAACAGTGCGTCCAACCCAACCCACTGATCGCTAACAATAAACAAAATAGCATGAGACTTACCAGTATGGGAGTTCGAAACTCCATAGCTCTGTGTCAAAATGGTCAATAGGTAACGCTGGTACAGGCCTTATACTTACTCAAGGTTGATACATCCCGGAATAGGCCTATAAAGCTCAAACGTGATCATAGATTTTGGGATGCCCAGGACAAAATCAGGTCTTTCACAATGGAACCCCCATATATTTAGGGGTGCAAAATCAAAGGCTTGTGAGCTGCGCGGTGCCTGGGTCACATTCCACCATAGGGATGAATGCGTATCGTCTTTGCGACATTCTGCCTGTCAGTCCGTTCAAGCCCAATGACAGTCTACACAAAACCGGTGCATGTTTGTCATGTCAGCTTATACCTCAGCGGACTTGAGTCCTGATGTCTGGAAGGGCATTTCTATGAAAATTTATCCGGCGTTACTAGTCAAGCAAGAAACACTAGGATCGTCGTGGTTGTTAGTGATACGGATCCAAGTCGACCGTATGGGATCTCAGCCAAATCATTAGCAAGATACTTTTAGTTGGCATTCGCTTGAGCCTCCCATCACCATTAACATCAATTGCAGAAGGGTGCATTTTGTCACGTGTGAAATTTATTGTTCAAGTAGAAATTTAGCTTGATGGATGAGTCCACATGAAACCGCTGGTGGCTGTTGAAGAGTTTTATTGAAGAGTTTTTATTGAAGAGTTTTATTTTTACAAAATTTTAGGTGTGTAATTCGAGAAAAAACACTGTGATATCTCAAGTATCCTACCAGCTAAAACACATTAGAAGGTTTTTTTAAGTACATTTACAGCATTGTGTTCAACTCCAGTAGCTTCATTTTCAAGTTGCATTTTGGTACTCTTTCCGCGAGACCTTTTTGCAAGTGGGATTTTGAATAAAAAAACGTTGGTTTGGTATGCATAAATACAACTACCAACTGATTTGACCTGATTCGCACCAAATGTAACTCCACCAAATCAGCTTCGTTACCAAACGTTCGCTTACGCCAGATTTCACGATAAACACTTCACGACACTGGTGACTAAGCGGTTGATGATAGATTACGCTTGAATGGTTTTTCAACTCGAGGCACACCCGTTCTGCCACTGTACGGCCACAGTCGACCTGGGACCGATCGTGGAAAGATAAATAATGCTTGTATTGCAGAAAATCAGTAACGCGATCTTGAAAAACTTACCTCAGGGGATTTAGTGTATATCGGGTCACCAGATGCAACGGCTGAACACAACTTACCCGAGTAGTTCACATACCATCAAATGTGGTTATGATGTTGGCCAATCTAGCAATATGTAATGGAGAGGCAAACGGGGAAATTACGCTCCCTTTAAGTCGTTCCACCTTATGGATTCGAAAATATGCACAGTCACTGGTATGTAACTACCAGTGTCACATATGTGCCGATTGCTTTATTGCAGAGACTGCTCAAATGAAAGGGTCTAGTCGTGACTTCGTGGCTGCTTTGCGCGCACATGTTTGGCCAATGACAAAAGTTATACCCCAAACTTGCTGACTCAAAAATGCATCCGGTGGCACAGAGAGTGAAATAACACTCCAGGGTTGCCTAACATGACCATGCACTCATGAAGAACCCATCACTTGTGGTGCGTAACTGTTGATTTGACAATATGATTTACAAAGTGCTTCTGTCAGTCAAAGAGGAGCGGTCATCATCGGGTGGTAAACTAGTCAGTTCTACGAGTTTTGAATAAAAACTGGATCTGCACATTCGCATCAGTGCGAGGTGCAACGGTCTTACTGGTTCAGTGATGTACAAGTGATAGTGAATGACTGTTGATGTGCGCCATACACTCACCTAGATTAAGAACACGGGAAGGAGAATTCCGGACCTTCTTCCTCTACTGTAGGAAAGTTTGGCGGTTGGTACAATGTGCTTCATCTTAATCCATGATGAACAAGATGGCCACAAGCAAAGATTTCTACTTAATCAAGATGGTTATAGCAGTCAGCAAAACGATAAACTTACACAGTAAGGGACAAAGGTCTTTTCAACCTACTGCGTAACAAATGATTGCAGAACTGTCGACGGATATGCGGTCAACAAAAAACCTGAGTTTCATGAGGCGCATCATTATTTCCACAGAATGACAAAAACCGAGCGATCCCGATAGCAACCAAACATTTTTCTTTTGGTATGTAATAAGAACCAAACAGTTCCTGGCGTTCGTCAGCTATTGCCTGAAGACGGCATTCAAAATTTTCACATCGGTAAATCCTAATGTTGTTTTGAATCTGCTGCGGGCGTATCTCGACAGCATACTGCGAACTCTGAGCTTGTCAATGTCGGTCTGCTAATAGTTTATGGAACGCAAATTTTGGCAGCCCGGCGGTCTCTCCATTCTCTTACCGATCACTGCTCTGAACTGACACTAGTATGATGTTACAAGATTTGGTTGCTGTTCTTTCTTGTGGACGCTTTTGACTGGCGGACTGAGTGTCCCAGCTGATAACCGGTAGACCTTACTGGCACAGCCAATGTACAGCGTAGGCAAGCCAACTTGGTGATTGAATTGAACCGTGAATGGAAACTGTCGGTCAAATGTTACTTTTACATTAACGAACGTGCAATAAAGTAAACTTTATATACTTTTAGGCTAAACGGCATGATGACAATATAAAATGGTTGTATAATTATATCCTACCAGCTTATTATATTTATTTTTTGGTGTTTCCATTTGGAGTATGAATGTGAATGGTGAGTTTGTTTTCTGACTAGGTTTGTTAACTTTGAACCAGAAGTCATCCGGTTTCATTTGATGAAAGTGGAGTCAGGGCGGTGCTCATTTGTGAATTGATAGTTTCGTCACAGGTCTAGTCATTTTTGAATGTTTCCAAGGCATTTTGGGCAGCAACCAATGACCCGGAGGTGGCGGCGTACACTGTTACTTTAAAATTGACGTCCATGGTCAAGCCCCTGGATATACTGTGCATTCCGAGCAGTAGATGATGAACACGAATTTTGCCGTCTACGAGAGCTATCAATGCTAAATTTGGTCCCATTTACAAGTTTAGATGATGATCAGTCGCATGAAGCAATGCGGCTGTTATCAAATATCAAAGTTGACAACTACAACATCGTATGCTGCAGGGGTCCTTGAGTTACCGCGAATCGGCATGTTCACCATACGCAGTGCAAATTAATAATGCATAATCCCATGTCAGGTTGTTTAGTGTTTGTCAAAGTAAAATTCACCGGGAATTCACATGCGGCGCCGCGGTGCATCAGAGACCATGGCTTCAAAGAGAAGTTGCAGTTAGAGTACTATAACAAAGATAAAAAACTAGTATTGAAAACACCTGTTCTTCGCGCCTTCACTGCAGTATTGTGTTGGTGACGTATATTCTCAACACTTTTATGACCAAAATAGTAAGGTAGAATACTAAGTTATAATACTAGAATACTAGAATATTAAGATTCTCGCGTGGGACGTGCCCTGAATAAAGTATTGTTTTTCGGTTTAATGGACGCAGTTGCTTTCATATCGGAAAGCACGTTTCGTTCACTTGGCTGGAAAGAAGGTATTTTGTGATTTGTATTAAGGTAGCGATTGCAAACCTCCTATCGATACCCAACTCTTGCCCGGATGAACTAAAGTAGGTAAAAAACTGTAGATGCAAAATACTCAAATTGCCAGTTCATGGGGTCTAACAGAATGTCCTCTTTGGCTTTTAACCCTCCGCTTAGATGGATCTTGTATTCCTTTCATCCCTCATGAGAGTTTCTTGGGAAAAGTCGCCAGCTGCCGATAGCATTTAGGTAAGACTTGATAAGGAAAATATGTAGTAATCATTTTACAATGCCAGCACATTAAGGTGCGCAACATAAATGGAAAACACATGCAAGCCATGACTGAATAACAGAGACTGGCGATTCATTTTAGACAGTATCGCTGTGCGCATCAGCTTCCTCTTGACTGAAAGATGTTTCCATAATGGTGCGCGCCACCAGCTTGCTGTCTACGTCAACGACCGTATCTCTGGAGGTTGTGGTATGCTTTGGAACTGGGCACAAATCGGGGAATCCACTTCCAATCGAACTCATGGTGAAATTGCCTAAATTTTGCATTATGTCTATGGGGACTGGAAAGAAGATGGTGGAATTCTTTTCTGCCGAAATAGCACAAAGTGTCTGCAGGTAACGCAGTTGGAATGCCATTGGTGAAGTTGCGATAATCCGAGCGGCCTTTTTCAGTGAGCGGGCTGCCTCCTGTTCACCCACTGCGGCAATGACCTGCAAAGTATATGGGAAAAGCAATGAGAGCGCGATGAGCGGCGGTACGCAGTGAAAAGCTTTGATTGAGCATTTGGTATGTCTCCTCAGATAATCCCAACCTGCCAGTGAAGCAAACGAAATAAACAAAACTAAGTAGCTAAAATAAATACCAGAAAACTATTAAAATGGAGTATTCAGTAATGAAAGACCTGCCGGTGTCCTATCGAATTTTTCGGTTGGCGGTGATCAAACCATCAGACGCCTGCAAATAGTAAGGGGGAAGGAGGTTTCCGCAAACGGGCAGTATGGTGCGACATACAGGGCACACCATTTGATTGGCTATCATTGAGATACCGACTTCTCCCGTCGAGGTTGTGACAATCTGGAGGTACTTCAGTAAATATCTGTTTAATGTGGTCAGTCTTGGTCACCAGTGTAAATGTTTACCGGTAGTCAGCTTTCGCTGTCATGTTGGTGAACATCAGAGTTAGAGTCTACAGAAGATTTCAGTGTTCCCACATCCTTGCCCGTAGCTTAAGTAGCCGTCATGTTCGTTTGACTTTAATGTCATCTCAGATTTGGTTTGTATACATCCGGCTATTTTCATCGTGATGTATTTGATTGCGTTTGCATCCCATCGTTTTTCACGTTCTGTTCATATTCTCTTGTCTTTACGAAAAAACCACTTGGATGCATATACGATTGCACGTTCGTTTGTTCTGACAAGTTTATCTGGAAACGGATGGTAGCCCACTATGTAGACTGGGACAGTAAGTGAGGACCATTACCTTTATTGGTTTTTCGCTTATCTATTCCCCTGTGAACATCAGGTGGATTATCGAGGGTATAAACGGAGGCAAGATGTTTAGAAGAGCCACGGCAAGAGACCGGTAAGAGAATTGACGATTGATCCCAGATTTGTTATAACTTACGCTGGACCCGCTCTGTATTCTAGGATGGCTTTCAAAGTACAACAACCTGGGTGTCAAAGTTCATCATGTTATGCACTTCAACTCCGTACAGCGTAGGTAATTGCTCCGCGGAAAACTTTGGAATGAAGTTTTAGAACGCAATGATTTGGTATACTACAGGAAGCCTGAAAGGGTCAGGTTAACCTAAGCCCATCAGCTACGTTCTGCATATAGTCACCCTTACTCATGCCAACCGTGGCCCTACCTTTATCTGCCTCTATAATTACTGTACTGTCTACATGTTTTAGTTTATTGAAGACCCTTCATTCTGCTGCTGTAATTTTTGGAACTCCTGGCTGCCGAGACTTTAGGACTGAGACCAACTCTACACGTAATTGCTCCGTTTCCATTGAAGGATGCTCCTGAGACACGGACGCAACACTGAGAATGATCTCTTGTGCCCCTATGACTCCTTCACTTACTGCAAAATCCAATCCCTTCTCTGTCGGACAATGTTCTTCGTCAGTTGAGGGTCTATCTATCTGATAAATTGACTACGCTGCAAAATGGCCGTGTTCCTGTTCTGGCGTAATTATTCCGGTAATTATTCCGTTCAAACGAGAGTGGTGTGGCTATGAACAAAATACCTATCCCGCGAAACCCCAAAATTACGCTGCAATAGCTAATAGACGGCTTACTCTTTTCTATTGATCTATTGGGGCAGCGAGTCGTGGAAAGCAATTTGTCGTACTTACGAAATTTTTGTCCTTGAACTGTTTACCTCGAGCTAATTTTATTCCTTTTGCTTTGAAGGTAATTTGAATTCTGCAGGCAAGGTTGCGGCTCGAAAATCATGATGGAGATGAAATGCACGGTGGCCAATTTCAGTAAGTTTAGGGTGGTTAAAAGGATTTTCTGTTTGAGGAATGACTTGATCACTGCGGAAGCAATTCGGCTAGAAACGGCGGGCGCATCTGTCGGCTTAACAACCAGGCAATTACGTTATACTTCGCGCATTCAAAGTTGAAAACGCGATGCTCTTTCCAGTTTGTCTCCAATCGCGTCAACCGAACATATATATAACTTTCCAGTTTCCGAATGCAAGGTCCAGGGATGTTTTCAGTCAGTTGGAAAATATTTGGGACCGACTGGGCAGTCATCTTTTCAGATAGGTTTTGAAGGGAAATGGCATGGGTTAACCACCACATGACCTGGCAAGATATCTGGCAGTCACCCAGACAAATCCAAAATTCGTATGAATTTGCTAAAAAGTTTGCTGGGCTCCAGTAAGAGCTGGACAAAGTTCTTGTCAGCTTCGGTGTCAACTCAATGTATACCAAGGTCTCTAAAGCGAACGCCCTGAAAGTAGCCAGAAGACTGTCACTGGCAGACAACGCTGCAGAAACGAACGTAAATCTTCGTAGAAGAGATGGATGAAGGCAGAAAAGTATGTTTAAACCCCAGTCATTTTGTTTTCGACTCAATTATATACCATCAAGCACAAGGTCTAGCGAGGAGATCTCCATTGTCCCCAATTTTGGCCAACATGCAGATGGTGGACTTTGAACAGAACGCGTTAGACGGATTCGAGTGTCCGTCAAGGGTTTTCTGGCGTTACATAGTTGACTAGTTCGCTATGGTGACACTTTGGACCTTCACTCTAGCATGAAGCTAGAGTTCACATCGGATGCACTACCCTTCCTTGACCACATGACACACAAGGTTGGTGGGAAATTAAAAGCCACTGTTTAGTGATGATATCTTAAATTGCTCCTCAGCATCTCCAAAAGCAGTATGTGCGAACATAGTTTCAACGATGTTTAGTTGAGAAATAGCACTGTGCACAGAGCAGGTTAGCCGAAGGGCAGCACAACTCGAGGTAAAAAAAACGACTTCAAGATAGCCGATACCAAGTGTGTTTGATTAAGCGATAACTAAGACGGGTATTAGTCCTAACACCAAGGCTCAATAAACAGTGGATCGGAACAGCAGTCGTTCCCTACAAAACGGGGACATCTGAGGCCATTAGAAGGGTACTAAATACGGCTAACATTGGAATACATTCCAGAAGTGAAAGACTTTACGCTTGATGCTGATGCATTTGAAGGATCGCCCCTATGGTTGAAAAAAAACTAGGAACTGTGTATACAAAATAAAATGCAATGACTGTACGAAAGTTTATATATATCACACAACCCGAATCGGTGAGCATAAGCGATCCATTAACAGGCCACCGAGAAAGGTGAGTCAATATCAAGCGATATTAGAAATTTTCGTTAATGGCAGAGCATGCACCACACATTGGGCATTGGATAGATTTGGAAAATGTGGACATTCTGAGGCAGGGGCTAAGATTCACACCACAGCGACTGGTGGCCGAGGCGGTGGAAATCGTAGAGCATCCAATCGTGAGTAAAGTAAAGAATGTAGAACGGACAAGTGTGTGGAGATCTGTTTTACATCAGCCGAGATGATACGAGGCGGTGTGCAGTTATCAACAAAATGGTCTGGGCCCAAAAGTAAAACATTCAAGTAGAATTAAATCCACTCAACCATCCATTCCCTGCACCCACCGGCGTACATAGACAAAGAAAAGCTGTGAACGACCCCTAAGAGGGATATTCCAATAATGTATCCTAGACCGGAAAAGCAGCGTCTAAAATTCGTTTTCAACCGGAAGACAGTGCCTCCCTAAACAGTCTATCGTAAAGTTTATTCATTCTCATTAACCAACAAACAGGAACTTCAGACCAGCACACAGCACTAATCAAGTCCGCCAGTCATAAGAAATCTCACGGACTTGTTCCCTGACTACCTCAAAACCCGACCATTTTTCCTGACTAAGCTTTTGAGTCAGAAGCAAAACGGTGTCCAGCAATAAATCCACCGGTTGTTCACCAGACCTTTCTGAAAAGATGACTAACCAACCGGTCCCAAACAATTTCCAACTGACTGAAAAGTAGGACTCTTCATTTTCACGGAACAGTGAAATAAGCAGCAAAATACACCAACTCAGATTGCAACGAATAAGGGTACTAAGGCTAACATTGGAATACATTCCAGAAGTGAAAGACTTTACGCTTGATGCTGATGCATTTGAAGGATCGCCCCTATGGTTGAAAAAAAACTAGGAACTGTGTATACAAAATAAAATGCAATGACTGTACGAAAGTTTATATATATCACACAACCCGAATCGGTGAGCATAAGCGATCCATTAACAGGCCACCGAGAAAGGTGAGTCAATATCAAGCGATATTAGAAATTTTCGTTAATGGCAGAGCATGCACCACACATTGGGCATTGGATAGATTTGGAAAATGTGGACATTCTGAGGCAGGGGCTAAGATTCACACCACAGCGACTGGTGGCCGAGGCGGTGGAAATCGTAGAGCATCCAATCGTGAGTAAAGTAAAGAATGTAGAACGGACAAGTGTGTGGAGATCTGTTTTACATCAGCCGAGATGATACGAGGCGGTGTGCAGTTATCAACAAAATGGTCTGGGCCCAAAAGTAAAACATTCAAGTAGAATTAAATCCACTCAACCATCCATTCCCTGCACCCGCCGGCGTACATAGACAAAGAAAAGCTGTGAACGACCCCTAAGAGGGATATTCCAATAATGTATCCTAGACCGGAAAAGCAGCGTCTAAAATTCGTTTTCAACCGGAAGACAGTGCCTCCCTAAACAGTCTATCGTAAAGTTTATTCATTCTCATTAACCAACAAACAGGAACTTCAGACCAGCACACAGCACTAATCAAGTCCGCCAGTCATAAGAAATCTCACGGACTTGTTCCCTGACTACCTCAAAACCCGACCATTTTTCCTGACTAAGCTTTTGAGTCAGAAGCAAAACGGTGTCCAGCAATAAATCCACCGGTTGTTCACCAGACCTTTCTGAAAAGATGACTAACCAACCGGTCCCAAACAATTTCCAACTGACTGAAAAGTAGGACTCTTCATTTTCACGGAACAGTGAAATAAGCAGCAAAATACACCAACTCAGATTGCAACGAATAAATCTCATTTATGGAGTAGCGAGATTCTATCCCCTAAGTTACTGTCTCGTCCAGAAGTATCACATATGTATTCGGAATAAAACTCGTTTTCAAAAGACGATGGCTGTTTTGCGTGTTATAAAATCGCATGTTTCGAAAGCCACGTTTACGAAGTAAACAGCGTGAGCTCCCATTAAATTCGAATCAAATTATTTTGGATAACTTTGTGAAAAAACCGCAATTTTATAACCCATATCTCGGACAGTCGTAGTGAATTTTATTATTGGATGGAATAGGTGAGTGTGGAAGTTGTGCGTAATGATGGTAGAACCAGTGTACCATGGACCACCTACCTTTGCCCGTGCTTCCCGGGCGGCCTCAGCCTCAGCCGCCATCGCCCGTTGCAGTTGAAGGGGGAGACGGACATCTTTGATTTCAACACGTTCAACCTGCACACAAGAGAGGAAACAAATGTGTGAGGGGTAGGTCCACAAATTCAGCTGAAAGGCATTCATCTATTGGGCATTTTCTGTATTGATGAAGGACATTTATTTTAAAACTAATGGTGATGAGAAAACCACCCAAATGTACGCGTTAGGTTAGAATCCCTCTCGTTAAATGATCGCCTAATCTTATTCCTCCAAGGTGTGCACAGTGAACTGGGAAATCATTTGGTGGAAAACGAGGATCAACTCATGCCCCATCCCCAAGCCCACTCCAAGGAGAACATAAAGTTGACACAGACTCGGAAGTTCGACCATCGGGTGGATCACAGGAAGGGCGAAGCCGATCATGGTCTGTCAACCAGTTCTCAGCAGCGCTGTGAATAGTTGGATATCAGATATTCACTTTAATATCCGGAGCATCAAACCAACCTAAACATGGGGTGAACCGTGTGCAGCATATTCAGCTGGAAGATGGTATGAATGGGAGGGTCATTCTGGTAACTGTCGAGCCGAAACCAAATTCGTGTGCAAATGAATGCAGTTAAAAAAATTTCGTACAATTTAGTTCAAGCAGAAACGTTGGGTGGAAGGGTGGAACCAGTCTAGGCTTTTGAAGGGTTTTCAACAGCATCATTCGTATTTGTATTCAAGAAGATAGTTCTCCCTGCTTCAGGCGTCAGTTGCTGTGAGTTTGCGGGGTTGGAGCGCAGACCATCCGATTGCTTCTCGTCAGGAAACATGATATTGATCTGTTTAGCAAGCTTAGCTGATGTTTTTAGACTGTCGTATGGTTTCGTTTTTTGATTTCGTCAAAATTCTACTCACATTACGCCTAGTTGAAATGTTTTTTTGTGGCTCTACATGACGTAATGGGGAGCAACAGAGTTGCGACGTCTACATTCCGTGCATTTTTTCAGCGTGGGACTAGGATTCTCCTCACCAACGTATGCAGAACACACCCTCATGTTATTACTGTGCCACCCAGTTGTGCTAAATCTAGTCAAGTGGTGTCGGTGCATTAGAATAATTTCATTAAGGCAAGAGGATGGCTTTTTTATACTTGAGGTGAACAAACTGAGTTGGTTAAAAGAACTTATGTTAACAACCACAATGAAATATCTTGGTGTGCCCTGTAGAATTCAACTTCCTCAGAAAATATTTATGAATGTTAGTTTTTCTCTTCCTCTGATATTTGTCGCAGAGTGGGGGTTGTACATAGCGTCAGATACATACACAAGATTTCGGATAAAACGATAAAAATAAAATCGAATTCGTGAAACACTTCGCATACGTGTTACCTCCACTTGTGACATTTTTATTTGTGTTTTTGAACGGAAAAACGCCAGACAGTTGAAAATCAGTCGAACACTCTTTTTGAACGCAAATTCTCTGCTTTTTCCACAGACAGTTATGTGCAAAACACCTCAAAAAATGCATAAACAATACAGTGTGCGTTTGTCCAAACAGGAGAGATTATCATAATTGAAACATAGATTAATTTGTCTGTGTTGTGGGAATATGTCGCCATCACCGCAAATAAATAACAAAAAACATTAGGTATAAGTGACTTTTTCCTATAGTTTCTTTTGAAACTATCCAGCTAAAACGTGCGATGTATTCTTTGCAATTCGTCCGCAATACTCAACATGCGCAAGATATTTTACTCCATTCTTAATCACCGTGTTTGAGTTATCCTCCAATCAAAACTTAAGTCAACCAACCACTGTTCCTTCCGGTCCCAGGAGATGTCAAGGTTGTCACGGAAACCATCATCCCGAGGACTCTGTTCGTTTCCTTACCAGGAAAAATTGCGATTGGATGCACTAACGCCGCGCATCCACATCAGCTGGGATAACACCAATCACGAAGTTGTCGACATTGTATGACTGCATGCTACGAGGGTAACGGTGGATACTACTGTGTAGGCATGCTCTGTACGAGGGATGCGGTTCACGAAGCTTTCGGAAACTTTACTACCACTATTACTTGCATAAGATGAAATGGTATAACTCCCCTGGTTCATGAAAACGTCCACAACCGGCAAGGATTTTCGACTGTTGACAACCAAGCGCCTGGCTGGTTTGAGGGTTTGTGGTGGACTTCGAGAAACTTCTTGAATACCACCGCAAATCGACAAACGGCTTTTTCTCTGTCGTGCCCTGGTAGTGTGGAAGTTTCTGTCATTAGATCCTTGAGGCAGCTTGAGGGACTACTTATGGAAAAAAACAGGTATTCAGTGAAATTTGATTGAGACGGGCTACCCCAGCCCGAAAAAAGCTGGCTCCCGCGTTTTGCCGTTTCATAAGAGATTTTCGAGCCAATCGTCATGGGAACATAGTTTGAACGAAGATAGAATAACACGTAGTTGACAACTCACTGACCCGGAAGTGTTATCCGAAGCCAGATTGGATTAACTGACAAGTCCTTTTTTTCAAGTCCTGTTTAAGCATCTTTCCTAGCACAGCCGGGTAGAAAGTTCACCATTACTCTCATTCTGCTCGAATCTGATTTATATCGAGTCAAACTAACTTATCCGCTCCGTAATGGTCGGCTGTACTTACTACAAACCGCACAGTCTTTCTTCTAGTTAAGGTGTCCCATAACAAGAGTTAAATTTTAACTTCTCAACTCTTTCTATCGAATTCGATTTATCTCAACTAATAGAACCTACCAGGGAGGATCGGAACCGAACAATGAGACAGCTGATTACCTTGTTGCAAAATGGAGAATGTAAATGACCATCGGCTCGTTTCGATCGACAGACAAACAACTGCTTGGTGTGTAGCATTATTTTACCTTATTTCCACAAATGGCGTTTGTGTTGAATGAGGCTGCCTACATTCATACACAACAGTCATCACAGTGTTGTCCAATCAAATGTTTGGTGTATGAAAACATCGGGCTTACCGGGTGCATAGTGGACTGTTTTCAGACACTGGAACTGATTCTAGCTATAAAGTAGTTTATATCCCCACATGGCCAATACAACCACGATAATACATTCCATAGGCCTTCGCAGCGATTCGATTGTTGGGACAACGTCACCGCACGCGCAATCACATCGGAAATAGAATTGGATGAACAAGGTTAAAGAGGCAAAGATTTTGTCAGTAATTTTAAGCACTTACATGTGGGGCACAATAAGGACACACAGCGAGGGGTCAGTGAGATTGCAGCTGCTTCAAGAGTTAATTGAGGTCAGTAAACTGCGGAGTGACATGCAAAATCCCGTTCGTTTGGAGACGATTTCCCAAACGCCTAAAACAATGAGGATCCAGCAACTTCATCATCTCGTGTGTGTCTACAGGCGGCCCTAAATGAATGTCCATTTCAAAAGTGGTTAATTGCGTAGCACCGGTTTGGAATAAAACAGCTGTCGCTCAGCAGTCGAGATGGCGTCGAAGCTAAGTTGCTCGGGTTTTAGCACTACCATAGGACATAGCATGCTACCTACGCATGTGGCAGTCAAAGAACAAAAGAAAAAGGAGGAAAACACTTATTAAGGCAACCACTCACAGGGTTGCTGAAAACTCTTTGACAGCCCACGACCGGTTTCGTCTTTCTTGGGGCTTATCAGATAGGTGCAGTCTCCGAGTTTCCGTTATCCCTATGTTCTACTTGAAACCAAATTGGACTGATTTCGACAGATACACTGATTCAGGAATCAGTCTGGTTTTCGCGGGAGCCTCAATTGAACCTCTCGTTTATGATGTTTTTCTTTTTCAGTTGAAGAACATCATGAGCTAAAGATTCCCTTCAGTCTCACGTGAAAACCAAATTGATTTGCAAACGATTGAGTGTGTTTGCCGAGGCATATGCTCTTTCACTAATTAAATTGATATTATGGACAGACTCAGCCGGATTTCGCTCTTAGAACATTCTCCAACGGAGTGTTTTGGGGGGGGGGGGCTCTAAGTAGGGCGAAGCGAGCTATCAGCGATTCAACAAGTAGTGTAATACTTTCAAAGTATATATTTCGAACATCGTGCTAACGGGGATATGACACGGCTTTTGTGCAGCATGTTCAGTCAAAAAATTATTGTATATATAAAAGAATCAGTCAAGTCATTCGTGAACACCAACATAGCTAGTAAATGATTGCGTACATCAAGACGTTCAAGTAGAACAGCAGGGAATGTGCCTAGCCTATGAACCATGTGAATTGCGAAAGCGTTGGTCAGCTGCTCAGTAGTATTCAGCAACCTCGCGAGCAGTCTAGTACGTGGGGATAACGAGCGGTAGTTCTATCTATGAATGAATGCTGTAGCTGTGGGATGCCTTGTAATAAAGCCAAGTCCCTAGTTCACTACAAGCAAGACGGTGTTCACTCACAATGGCAAAAACAATTACAAACATCATTTTTAGCAATGTTGTGGAATGTAGGTAACTCGGGTGCGCTGCTTGGTTGTTGGTCTGTTGTCAGTGCACTGAGTGCACTGACGATGTCACCTCGCTTGGTGATGAAACGTTTCCAATCCAACTGCCAAGCTCGGCGCACAGACCAACAACCATACATCACCCTATCGATGGGACGACCACTTGAGTCCGTACGTTTTCGGTTCAGTGTTCTTCTTTTTAGGTAAACTGATTAGAATGAGCATTCGCAATGTGGTGGACCGATTCCCGATTCAGAATTTGTTGCCACTTGTATTAGGTCACTCTCGAAGTAGCTCAGAGGGATAATAGTTTAACGGGATTAACGAACATCCACTTGAGAAGTCGTCACTTGAAGTGCCAGTCAGCTCATAACCAAGCGGTTTGGGTTGTGACAGATGGATAAGTGGCGTCTAAGTGAGATTTTCTCTTACTGCCACTCATTGTCAAACGGTCAAGTGTTTAACCAAAGGCCGGAAGGCTGCAGGTTCGAAACTCTCCGAGTTTCACGAGGTGCACACTGTTGATGATTCCCAAAAAGAATAAAACTATGCACAGTGCTTCACAGCACTTTACGACAGATGTGTCATAGAATGCTTAGCAAAATCAACACGACCTTCCGATTTTAT